TATGCCATTTGTTTTCCTTAAGAACTCCGAAAGTATAGTTGGTGCTAGGTTATGCCACACAATCTTTCATTGTTGGTAGTAGATTTGTGATTCCCTGTCCTGCCATACCTTCCCTAAGATATTTCCCACCTTGAATTGTCCTCTGGAATCTGCAAGGCCAAGCTGAAGTTTGGGGATCATATTATATTTTCTAAGGGCGAGTAGTATTAGGTGGTTGTCTGACCCAGATCATTTGAGCAGTTTACTTTCATTCATGACTGTATGGGACTTTCTGCCTCACTGCCCCCTCCCCCCGCATACTCCATCTCTGCCTCCCAAATGCCACTTTTTGCCTCTAATATGTCCATCTCTGAAAAACTACTTCTTAAACTATAAACCCAATCTGGTGCCAGGGCCAAGCTGCATAAAGAGATGCGCAGGTGTGAAGTATTAAAGGAAGCTAAATAGCAAAGAGGTGGCCTTGAGCTCCCTCAAGTTCCTTGTAAAGTGGAGTGGGCCCCCAGCTAACTGCTTTTGAATCCCTTACAATAGCTTCCATTTTATTGCTAGTTTGAAGTTTTCTGAAAGAGGGTGAGGGATAATAACGTTCATCTTTAAAATGGGAATTATTCCACATGTGGGGTTGTTATAATGATTGTGAGGATAAAGTCAAATAATGAATGTGAAAGTGGCTTTTAAAAACAGTAAATGCCACCAAATGTCAACTAATATTCTTCTGAACAGCATTTGGGCTCTATAGTGGCACTTGCCAAGCTCTGTCTAGAAATATAATTAGTTGCTTACTCCTTCTGGGGAATGCCCTCCTCACCCTGAACTATGTAATACATTTTTCAGGTGGACTGTGTCTTTTCCTTTTATTTGTAATCCCACCAGTCCCTGGCCTGTCCCAGCACTTTTTATGTAGTGGCTGCTTGGTCAGTACTTCTTGAACTGGGTCACTTATAATAAACTATCGCCTTGGTCAAACTTCTTTTTTCCTAAGACTGTGGCACTAATTGAGAAAATTCCAAGTGACTGAACTTTTTTAACCAAAGAGAGTAAGAGTCACAATGTGTGTTTACCCAAGACCTGACACTGTAATTGTACCCTTTTAACTAGTTCGCTTCTGGGTGAAATGTGGGGAATGCAGCTTCAGATGTAAGAAGCGCCACAGATTGAAAAGAGCTGGAGAACCAAGTTTTATGAAAGCAGTTCAGTGCCACTGAGGGTGAAATAAGAGAAAAACAGAACAGATCTATGAATTGTTTAAGTCCACTGTGGACTGCTTTTGGTCTCTTCTAGGATTTCCTGGAGCCTGTGGACTGTTATTCACCATCCACATATGCATATATAAAAATATACCATCTATAAATAGCCACCTGCCTTTTCAGTGAAATTAAAGATGGGAGAGTTGGAAGAGAATTTCCCAGTATAATTACAGGTTCAAACCTACAGCTGTTACACTTTTATAGTTCTACCCAGAAAATTTCTTAATATCACTATTTTCTATCAAGCACATTTTAAAAAGCCTACTTTTTCTTTAATGGTAAGAGACAAGATATTTATTTCCTGCCAAGATTTCTCACATACCTACTTTAAAAGATCAGGTGTTGCGTGCAGTTATTGTGTAGACCAATTTTGTTTTATAAACTGCAGAAAATTTTCACAAGTGTTTCTGCTCCTTATCTAGGGATTAACACCAAACTCCTGCCAATGTTTTTCTTAACCTTTGCACGTGCCCTTGCACAAACACTCTCCCTCACTTATTTTCTGCCTTAGAGGTGCCCCCTTAAAAAAATCCCCAAGCTTCTAAAATTCTTAGGTAAAACTCCACTACATAAGGACACACCACAATGTGAAATGAATTAAACTGAGCACTTTTATCTTTGCTTACAAAAAAGCAGGTAGTAATTTATTCATACACAGTCTTTGTTCCCTCACTAAAGAGCAATGCTCTTCAATCTTTGAGAGCCTCAGAGGACCAGGCAGTGCTGAAAAGAGGAAAGGGACACATTTATAGGAGTAGTCACGCAGCTCTCCCCACAGAAGGGTCTAAGTGCCGTTAGCAGTTAATTTGTGAGCAAAAAAAACCCTGTTGGGAGCTTTCCACCTACTCTAAAAGCAAACATTCTTAACAAGCGGTATTAGTGTGGTGTTAAAAAAGGCATGCTTTAACCTAAAAGGTGTCATTTTATGAGCAAAAACTGGATAAACCTTAAGAGACTTAAAGTCGGTATTTTCCCCCTTCCTTGATGCCCAAATCTTCACAGGTTGAGATGACCTCACACCCATTGTGACGAAAACCCTGGAGCATCTTAAACCTGCTCTGCCCAGAGTGCAGCGGCGTGACTTCCTCCTCCTGGGGAGGACCGTCTGTCACTGATTTTCATTCTGTGTGTTTCTAAAACACACCAGCCGTGTGTGAGCCTGTTAATTAAAACAAAAACAGAGCTGTTCCTGTTGAGCTTTAGAAGTACAGAAACTTAGAGCCCAAGAAGGGAAGGAAAACAGCAGCATCCAGTCTGCTGCTGGGTCTCCATAGCTGCCCGAGAATGAGGCGACTACATTATGAAAAGCCAGGAAATGGGCACCTGAATTAAAGAGAGGCCGGGGGTGGGGGGTGGGGGCGCGGGAAGCAAGCTAGTGAGGCTTGGAATTGGAAGTATTCAGAATGCTTTTATCATTTCCCTGAGAGACTGTTTATTATCAAAGTGCCTGGATAGTGGAGGCTTCTTAGTCTAATCTGATTCCCCCGTTAGCCTCTCCAACCAGAGGAAAGAATAGCTTCGGTGACTTCTGAAGCCATCCTGGGGTTAGGCATAGCGTCTATTCCTGCCAGAGCTGCTGAGTCACTGCCACCTTCACTGTCACCTCGGGGAATCACTTGACCTCTGGGTTCCAGTGACCTAGAAGGCAGAGTGAAGCTTATAGCTGAGGAATGCTCCATATGCAAGGTTCCTGATATCTGGAATTGTCTACTGACTTTCCTGGCCAACCTGAAGCCAAAGGACTTAAGTATTAACAATGTAGAGAAGGTTCGTCAGGATACAAAAACACAAATCAGTTAAAAACAAAACAAAACTCACTGAATTCTTCCCAAGAAAAACAGACCAAAAATATCTTCTAGTCCTCTTTCAGATATGTACTTCACCTCTGAAGGGCAGTAAAAACATGGATCAGATAGCACCTCTTTACAGGGGATGCTTGTTCTGTACCTTCAGTAAGTCATCCAAAGCAGGATGTGAAAAGGCTTAGGGGAGTGTGTGGTGGGTGGTGTAGAGGGTGGCAGGAAGCAGCAACAAAGGAAAAAAAATTAAGGGACAATTAAAGCATTCATTACACCATATTTTAAAAGGCAAGGAAAAAAAGACCTCACTAATATATCACCTCTTCCTCTTCCAGAGACCCATCCAATGGTGTCCCTCCACACCTTGTTTCCATAACACAAAGTTTAGTTCTTTGGCTTAATGATATACAGGCACTGTAAACTAAATAAATGTTCACTCTGTATTTTAAAAAAATTTATTTGTGATCTGTACATGTGATAAAGTGGGGCTTCCTTGTAGACTTTTAAAGGCAAAACAAAACAAAAATCCAAAGTAAAAATGTATAAATACAATATATATTTTCTTACAAAAAAATGGGAGATTTACAAAATATACATACTGCACTTGTCTCTATTTTACAAATTTCACATGCAAGAGATACAACAAAAAATATCCTGAAAAACTGCATGGTGGGAGTTTTAAAAATCTGACAAATAAGACAGTTTGGGGGGATTAAGAAACACAAGGTCAACGTTAACTTGAATATAAAAAGCAGCTCCACTCAACTGAACATTAGATTATATGAAGTAACTTGTATTTCTGACAGCACCCTCTATGACTTAAAAATGGTTTGAAATGGCATTTAAAAACTGTTTTGAGACACAGGACAGTGTTGCAAGATTGCAGGGTGGTGTCAAAGGTGGAGTGAGTTTCGCTCCCGTGATTCTCTGCTCAGCTTTAGACCATTATGCAAAAGAATCAGAGTTGTTATAGAAAAAAAGTACATGATTTAAGATTAATAAATTTAAATCATCCAGCACATTTCAAAGAACTCCAGAATGACTTTGAAGTTTACCTTCTTTTAATGATTTTCCTTAAAACGGGGGCCCATGATTTGAACTGTCCTTTTCATTCACTATCATTTCTGGAGGTCACCTCCCTACCCAGCCACACAAAGACAGGGTCAGCACACACGTGATGTTTTATAAGTGGATTTGTGGGACTACAAAAACAGGACAAAAAATTGTTTTTACTTTTTAAATGCAATGTACTGTATTGTGGAGACTGAGACATTATGCTCTTCCTTTTAACTGGAAGGATTCAAATTAAAAAAAAAGAAAAGAAAGAACCTAAATGCAGGTTTATAGGAAGGAAAAAAATGGAGAGATAACCCTAAACATTTTACAGAGCCCATTGAACCATGTGTTCTGAATTAAATTTATGTAAAACAAACAACAAAACCCTCTGCATTTTCTTTAGCCAAGTCAGAACCTCTGACCCAATGGGGGTATGGATGCACAGGCCCTTTCACTTTTCCTTAAAAAGGAATGTTTATCTCAACCGAATTAGCATCCAGAGAGACCTCAGATTTGCTCGACTTTGCCTATAAAAGTTGCTGTCTTCACAGTTATGCCTTTCCACAGAGAGACACTTTTGTTTCCTCTTTTGTCTCTCACAACAAAGACAAGGGGGAAAATGCATTCCTGTTTTGAAAAGCAACAAGTCATCACTTCTTTTCAGGCTATTAAACCAAATAAAACACCCTTGTTTCTTTCTCCTGCCTTCCACAGAACATTTTAAAAATAGCAGAAGTACCTACTACTCATCTCCTTTGCATCATCTCGAAAAGCTATCTTCATTTCGTTTGCATCCTCACATTAGGATTCCAGGAGGCAGGCCTCCCAGGACTTCCAAATGCTTATTTTACAAGACTTGAAAGGAGTGGGGGGGGGGCGGGGGGGGGGCGGGGGGGGGGCGAACCAGGCGGGAGGGGGCAGGGGAGGAGAGACTGTACTGTCTGACCCTGGAAATTAACCCATCTGGGCTCCAGTTTGGCCCCAGTGAAAAGAGATTATGGTTTGACCACCGCTTGACAAGGGCACCGCAGGGAGTCCTCCCTTTTTCCAACAAAGCAGCCGCTGCAGACAGAGCTGTACCTTTCACCCGGGCCTCACAGGACTGAAGACAGGCCACTTGTCTTGCAGCAGGGGAATCGCTCCCAGTCCCAGTTCAGCCGGATCTGGGAAGGACTCAGAGCAATCTTCTCTTCTCCAGAGGCCAGGTCGGTCCGTACCGTACATGATAAACACCATCATTGTTAGTTTCATTACCATTATCCTGCAAGTCTTTGCCAAAAGTCTTTTCACCCGACCCATCTTTCCACTCAGGCCTCCTATCCCAACCCTATCCCAACTCGTCTCACGTCTACATTAAGTTTTCTCACTTCGAAGTCACCTCTCATTGGAGGGGGAGGGGGTTACAGAAACAAGCCCTCCACCCCGAAGTTCTTTCCCTACCGCGCCTTTCCCTCGGTGGGAGAGTGGAGGAAGGGAGGGTGGGGGAAGGGCCGGGGCTCATACCGCAGTCTCCCCCTTGCTGCTGTGGCTGAGTCTGTGGTAGAAGCGGCGCCAAGACTGCAGGGTCTTGCCGGACCAGATCCAGAAGCCAGTTGTGATGCCCACGATCATGGTCATCAGGTATTTGATCATGAAGACGGTGAAGTCGGGGCTCATGGGCGGGAAATGGCCGGGCGGGCAGGGCACCGCGTAGCTCTTGCACGTCTGTAGGAGCCAGGTGCGCTCCCAGTGTTCGCGGAAGGCCTGCTCGTAGAAGTAGCAGGCCAGGACGATGGTAGCCGGCACCGTATAGAGCACGCTGAAGACGCCGATGCGCACCATGAGCTTCTCCAGTTTCTCGGTCTTGGTGCCGTCGTGCTTCATGATGGTGCGGATGCGGAAGAGCGACACGAAGCCGGCCAGCAGGAAGGACGTGCCGATGAAGAGGTAGACGAACAGGGGAGCCAGCACGAAGCCCCGCAGCGCGTCCACGCTGGACAGGCCCACGTAGCACACCCCACTGAGCAGGTCCCCGTCCACCTGGCCCATGGCCAGGATAGTGATGGTCTTGACTGCGGGCACCGCCCACGCCGCCAGGTGGAAGTACTGCGAGTTGGCCTCGATGGCCTCGTGACCCCACTTCATGCCGGCCGCCAGGAACCAAGTGAGCGACAGGATGACCCACCAGATGGAACTGGCCATGCCGAAAAAGTAGAGGACCATGAAGAGGATGGTGCAGCCCTCCTTCTTGGTGCCCTGCGCCACCGTGCGGTAGCCGTCATCTGAGAAGCGCTCCACGCACACAGCACGGTCCTCCAGGAGGAAGCCGGCCACGTGCGCCACCGCTACCATGAAATAGCAGCCCGACAGGAAGATGATGGGCCGCTCGGGGTAGCTGAAGCGCCGCATGTCCACTAGATAGGTGAGAACAGTGAAGAGCGTGGAGGCACAGCAAAGCACCGACCACACGCCCACCCACAGGCGGGCGAAGCGCCTCTCTTCTTCTTTAAAGTACATGAGGCCGTTGGCGCGGCCAGGCTCGCACGGGGCCCCGCAGTCGCGCTCGCCCAGGAAGCGGTAGCCCAGGTAGGGGGGGACCTTGAGTTGGCGGGGGCACGAAAAGGGAAAGGTGGTACGGCCCCGGCCATCAGCGGCCCCCGGGGGCACCGCAGTGAAGGGCAGGTCCGGCATGTAGGGCGCGGTGGGGTAGGCGGTAGGGCCGCCGCCCGGGCTCCCGGAGCCGTCGGACGTGTTCTGGCCGACGCAGATCTCACCGGCACCATGCACCGGGAAGTTCTCGCAGCGCAGCCGCTCTGGCCACTGGAAGCCGAACTTATTCATGAGCGCTTCGCAGCCCTGGCGGGCTCGCTCACACAGAGAGCGGCACGGCGGGATGGCCTTGTCCAGCACGGTGCACACGGGTGCGTACATGGAGCACAGGAAGAAGCGCAGCTCGGGAGAACACTGCACCTTCACCAGCGGGTAGAACTGGTGCACCTCGAGGCCCGCGTCCTCTTGGTTGGTGTGACCCAGCAGGTTGGGCAGGATGGTCTGGTTGTAGGCGATGTCCGTGCACAGCGGGATGGAGATGAGCTGGCAGAAACCGTGGTCCGGCACCGAGATGCCCTTTTCGCCGTGGTATGGCTGCGCCCCGGCGCCCGCAGGCACCAGCGCGCCTAGTAGCGCAAGCACCAAGGTGCATAGGCCCACGAGAGAGCGCGGCATGGCCGCGCCGGGCCCCCGCATCACAGGTCGTGGGTGCAGCGGCGCTCTCAGCTGGAGAAGCGCGACAAGGCAGCCAAGAGAGGCTTGGATCCCGGGAGGCGCCACCGCGCCGGGCTCATGAGAGTCCTCCCGGCGCCGGGGCCGGGCCGTGGGCGGCGCAGAGCCGAGGGCGCTGCAGCTGAGGTGCCTGCGCCGCGGGGGCGCCGCAGCCGCCTCCACCCAGCAGTCGAGCGGCCGCCGGGGGCCCAAACTCCTTGGCTTGGGCCAGGGGCGCCGCCTTCTCCTCCTCCCGCGACGTAACGGTGCGGCTTTTTCTGCGGCGAGGAGCAACAAGCGTCTCCAGTTACTACCTTTGAAAGTTTGCCCAAGTCTTCCGACCCACAGCGCACAGCAACGCGCGCGCCCCCCACACCAAGTCCAGCCCCCCGCAGGGGAGAGCCCGGCGTCGCCGACTGCTAACTGAGGCCGCCGCCTCGGCGGTGCTGCTCCGCCTCCTCCCCTCCGCTGGCCGCCGCCTCCTTCTTCGCCTTCTTCAACACTCCCCGCTCCTTCTTCAGCTCCAAGTTTCAGCCAAACGGCTGATTCTCGGTCTGAGTCCGGCCGGTGCCTAGGAACCAAGAGCTCAGCGAGTTCTTTTTCGATATCCAGTTGCGCCGCGTCCGAAGCTGCGAGGTCCGAGTGCCCGCGGCCTGGGCCTGGCCTTTTCAGCCCCGCGCAGCTCTGGCCCGTGGGTCCGGGGGCCCTCCACCGCCGCCACCGCCGCCGGCCTGGAGAAAGCGCAGAGTAACGCCTCGGAGCCGCGCAACTCGCCAGAAGAAGCGTCGGGATCGCGGGGTTCCGGGCTGCCCCACCCCCTCCCCTCCCCCCATTCACAAACCACTCCAGGGGCGGGTCCTCGAGTTTCAGGGATGCCCAATAGCGGCGTTTGTTTTCTGTGTGGCCGCCTTCGGATTGGGTGGAAGTCGGAAGGGGCAGGCGAGGGAACCTGAGAGGCGGTGTCTGCAGCGCTCTGGGCGGATTCCTGAGGGGAGGGGCAGGGGGCTGGGAGAGAAAAGTTAAGAAAAACTTTTACCCTGAATTCACTTGGGGGTGGGGGGAGGTATACGCACCAGAAAGGGGGTTTGCTTGAAAGATTTGTTCCTTTTCCGAGCGCGCTATAATGCACATCCCTGAATGGCGCATCGGGTTAGACTTTTGCAGGGAGAACCAAGCTGAGAATAATGCAGAGCCTGAGCAGACAGAGACGTGACCCGGAGTCACGTTAGCCCTACTTGGTCTGAAAATGCTGGGTTTCGCCGGGTCTTTTAGGAAGCCGGGTCCTAAATGTAGGCTTTGGTATGGGGCAAAAGGGGGTGCATCTCTCAGATCGCTCTTCTCTCCCCAAACCCAGACGACGTGAGGTCACAATCCCCTCTCATTCCCACTCCCGGTTGTAAAAAGGAGGAGGGGCCGCGTCCGAGGAGAAATCGGAGTCGGGTGGAGGGGGCCCACTTAGGCGGGAGGAAAGGCAGATCCTTCCAACGGGAGCGCCGGGAGCGGGGACCCTCCCCCCTCACGCCGGCCCCAAGACGCCCCAACCGCGCGCACGGCCCAGAGTATAGGGATCTGATGTAGCTTTAGTGAGGTTGTGAGAAAACTAAGTGTCGTGGCCGGGGTGGTGGTGGTGGTGGTGGTGGTGGTGGTGCAGGGAATGGTTATAAAAGTAACCCGAGACAGTGCAGAGGAACACTGTACGGTTTAAAGCATGTCTTGAATTGCCCTGTTTTCCCTAGTTTTTCGGGCGCGTGGTCATTTAGGACCCCATCTTCATTGCAGAAGCAATAATTTGATCCTCTATTTGGAATATGGGTAGAAGTGTTTTAATATGTATTACAAACCAGGGCATTTGCTAATTAAAGAGTTTTCAAAACACAAAGAGAGGGTATCCTTGTTCTCGGGTAGCGTTTTCTGATTGGCAAGCGGTCTTTTGTTCCATCAAATATTCGCCCTGCTCGAAAGCACTGGGCGCTCACGCGCGCTCTCCGATCACTCTCCGCGAGGTCAGAAGTGACCGCGGGCGGGGGTGGGGGTGCCTGTCCCCTCTCCCGGGACAGCAAGGAATATCAGAAATTGCCCTGCAGGAAAGAGACGTGTTGAGAAAGGAAAAATGCTGCCTCTCCCTCTGCCACACACGCACATGCACACACAGTCACGGAGAAATTCTGTGCTTTAAGAAACGTTACCCCTGGCCGAGCCCTTGCTTCTGCCAGTCTCAGTCCCAAGCGCTGGAGCCCCGAGTGATGATTTCTGATCCGGCTTCCTGTTTGCAGAAGTTGCTGTCCCTGCTACTGCCCTCGGGGAGTCTCTTCTCCGGGAGAAAAAACACTGATCCTGCAATCTGAGACAATTCCTCGGGTTTCTTCCCTTCCGCTGGAGCTTTTGGCTTCCTCTGTTTTTCTTTTATTTTCTATTACAGAAAGTTACTAGGCACCTTTCCTTCCAATTCACAGTTTTTACTCGTTTCCCACTTCTGTTCATGGGACTGGAGGGCTGGATCATTTGGGCCGACGTAGGGCGTCAGACGCTCGCGCTCTCCTCGGGTCCTCAACAGGGGTCCCCATCATGTTCCCCCAAAGCGTCGTGTCCCTCCCACACCCGCAGCAGTAGTTTAAATGTCTTTGCCGGGTTCTGCCTCAAGGTAATATGAAGGATTAATGATATTTGCTTTAAAAATGTTTCCTTCCTTGTATTTTTTTTAAGGGCTCCTCTTTTTCTTTCTGAATTTTTATTCATATTACCTAACATCGGGGAGCATTGATGCTGCTGTGAAAGATGTTGTTTGAGGACAATGCTGCTGCTTTGCTTTGTCATTTAAAGTGTGTATGGTGGGGAGTTGAAAATCCTTTTTTCTCTCCGGGAACTTTAGGTTATCCTCCTTTTCGAAATCAAATTTGCATGCTTATTTATCAGGCCCCAGATCTAAGTCATTTTTGCTTATTGAGGGAGAAATTGCAAGAACTGTCATCAAATGAAATGAAAACAGACAGGATAAAATACTGCATCTGAAATACAACTGAAATCAGTTTAGTTGATGAGCTTCAATTCATAGATGCAGACAGCTCCCTGATGTTAGGTAATAGGGTAATTATTTAGAAAGAAAAAAAAAAGAAAGCCCTTAAAACTACAAAAGATGAATGAAATATTTTTAGAACAGTCTACACATAAGATGCAGAAAATCCATCCCAGGTGGAAAATAGCACTGATAAGAGTCCTCTTGGTCTATCTCAGGCCGACAAGTATAAAAATCAGAGGAGCAAACCCCAATTTATTGGAAAGTGTTTTTTTTTAAGATTATTTTTAAAAATTCACTCCACAATTATTCTGGAAAATCAGAATTTGCTGTTGGAGAAGGTGGGGTAGCTTTCTTTCCATACCTTGCCTGATACGGAATGCTGTGATTTCAAAGAGATAAGTCAGATCAGGAAAATAAGTTTACAGTATAGGGCTGAGTAGTCTGTTTTAGGTTCTGTGAGAAATGTAACATTGGTTCGCATTCTGTCTAGGATCAGTTTAATTTTCTTTTCCAAACAACACCTTCCACACCCAACTCCTGAAGCCACTAACTGATTGATATCTTCTTTGGTGAGCTAAGGGTGGAAAAATTTTTAAGTGTCTGCTGCAAAACTTCTAGTTGCCCCTGCCCTTTAAAACAACAAAGGCTTTTATTTCTTCACATCATAGTCATGTGGTCCCACAGAAAAGTGATGCTATTAATTGGCACCAATTATTTAAATGCTACTTATTTTGGCCAAGTCCCAGCTTCATCTAGTTGAATTACATTCTGATGTCAGGCCATATTTGAAAATGGCCACCTTTGCGGTGCCACAATCCTGTGGTTGCAGTGAAATGCCAGCTGCAAGAATTACTCATGCAAAACCAGAAAGGGCAGCTTGTAGCTCAGCATCTACTTCCCTTTTTGTCCTCTCTTTTACCAGACAACTTGTGACTTCATTACATAGAGGACTTGGAATTTCCAGTCACCAGGTTGCCATTGACTTCTTTCAGGTTAGTTTGAAATGCTGGATTCTTCCCCAAATTGGAAGTCTTGTCCGTAATGCAGACTTTGAAGTGTTATGAACATAGAGATATCTAGATTGAATAAGAGGAGGCCATGCTAAAGTCCTGTGACATATGCTAGGCCCCACCCAGTGGAGGTGATTTATATCATAAAAATGTTTGACTATTTCCTTTGTTGCATGAAGGTTGTATTAGTTATCTATTGTTGTATAAAAACAATTACCCCGAACTTAGCAGCTTAAAACAACAAACATTAATATTTCATAGTTTCTGTGTATGGTGGGTCCTCTGGCTTGGGGTCTCTCATGATACTGAAATCAAGGTGTTGGCTGGGACTTTAGTTACGTCACGGCTCAACTGAAGGAGGATTCACTTCCAAACTCACTCGTGGCTATTGACAGGCCTCAGAGTGTCCATTTCCAATTCATCATGTGGCTGTTGGCAGGTCTTACTAGCTGTTGGCCAAAGACATCAGTTCCTTGCAATGTGGGTGTCTTGTAAGGCCACTTCAGACATGGCACCTTGTTCCCCCACAGCAAGTGGACAGAGAGGGAGAGGGAGAGGGGGAGAGAGAGGGAGGGAGGGAGGGAGGGGGAGAGAGAGAGAGAGAATGCATGCAAAAGGCAGCAATAAAGATAGAAGTCATAGTCTTTCTGTAACCTAACTTTGGAAGTGAAATCCTGTCACTTTTGCCATATTCTATTCATTAGAAGCAAGACACTAGGCCCACCCATACTCAAGGGGCAACAGGGGCTACACTTGCGCATGAAAATCCATCGGAGGGCCCTGGCTGGCATAGCTCAGTGGATTGAGCTAGGGCTGTGAACCAAGCATCGCGGCTTCAATTCCCAGTCAGGGCACATGCCTAGGTTGCAGGCCACAACCCCAGCAACCACACAGTGATGTTTCTCTCTCTCTCTCTCTCTCTCCTTCCCTTCCCTCTCTAAAAATAAATAAATAAAATATTTAAAAACAAACAAAAAAAGAAACCCTCTGAGCATCTTTAAAAAAAAAAGAAAAAATCCATTGGAGGGTGAGGATCACTGGGAGTCAATTTAGAGACTGTTTACCATAAGGGTTATTCATATTATGGAGATGAAGCCAGAAAGAGAAACAACTCTTGGGTCTCTGCCTTTTGGGAGTCCAGAAAAAGGGTCACAAATAAAAACACATGTTGATTGGTTATGATGCCACCTGCCTCTGTTGGAGTCAGAACAGAACCCTAACTCTGGCCAACTGTGTTTTCCAACACAGGCCTTTGGACTAGAGGAAGAAAGAATGCAGAGGAAGTTGACTGATTGAAGACAACATGTAACCCTGGGGAAAAGCCTCCAAGAGCAGACAGTGGGTCATTTTGGGGAGTGAAATATATACGCAAAGGAAAGAGCACTGGAACTACAGCCTAAAGAAAGAGACTTTGGCTATTTGGGTTATGAGGTAAAAGCACTGTTGGTAATTGCCACCCATGCCTTTAATAACAGTCTGTAGGGTACTGATGTGTAGGAAGGGTGGCTGAAGTAGTTAGTACAGACCACTTTAGTTCTGCTTTTCACCATCGATTTCCTGTCCTGCCTCAGGCAAGTCACTTAACCTCCATGGTTCCCTCAGAGTGTTGGGGTAGTTAATGAGATAATACTTACGAAATGTTTTGTGGTCTATGGGCAAAAACACCATAAGGGCAGAATCCTGGTTTGGTTATATGGATGCAAATCATAGAGATAAAATGAAATACCAAGTTAGGTGCATATTTTTGGCTCTGGCTTTCTGCCAAGGTTGTGACATTTTACAGCGGTATGCAGGTAAATGTTTAATGACCAGCTTTTTAGGAAAAGAGCCCTGATCTCTATACAGTTGTCAGTTTC